TATTGCTCGGCTGGTGCGTGCTGATCTCACTATAAAAGTCTACACTAATGCACATGCAAGCACACATGTTCTATGATGGAACTTATATTCTTATGCATATCTATATATGAACATATCTATATATGAACATATATATATATATATTTACATACAAGTATGACGTATATCTACATATGCGAATTTGTGTGCACATGCCCCATGGTTTTAGATACAATATTCTACAGTGACAGGCCCCAATCATTACCATCTCCTGGAAGTCCCCACAACAGGCTGTCGTACGTTGATCGTATTTTCCAGTGATGTACCCACCAAAAAAATCGATACACACATATACATGTATATATATACATATATATATATATATATATAAGCACATACATATGTATATATATATATATATAAATGTGCCATAAGGTATTTCCCATGTTTTCAAATGTTTCCATTCATATTGTCCACACACAAATCCATTCAGAAGCCCACGGAGGACGCCTCTTGGTTGGATGCACCATCCTACGGAGGAATTCTTCGGGCTCCGAGATGGGATGTAACAGGACATAGCTTGTATTCATCATACACATAATTACGTAATATATATAAAATGACATCTATATATTACATATATATATATATGTATACAGTGTATGTATGTGTATAATATATATATATATTATATACTGAATAGTGAATATATATATATGTATATACATACATATACATGTATATATATATATACTGTATACATGTATATGTGGATAAACTGTCATAATTCACTAAGCTGAATGATAATGCTAGTTATTGGGATATAGTGTTCCCTACTTTCCCTACTTTCTAATCATAATTCCAGTGAGGTCTCAGTGAGGTCGCAAGAATTTACCCAGATAATATATATATATGTATACATATATATATATATATCATGGGCCAAAAACGAATCCGTCGAAACCACAAACGAATCCAAATTCCCAAAGCGAGAACTTGTTTTGCAACATCGAAAGCAGTGAAGCAACTGGCAATGTATCACCTGGCACTGGAAAATCTCATGTTGAAGAATTGGACAATCGTTTGGAAAATCATCCAACCGAACAGCAGCCATTTTCTTTCAGAGAGTGGCCCTGTCCGAAATCATCTAAAAAAAATCTTGCATCAATGCCAACGGATTGTCGAGGCAGTCATGGTGGGCCATGAGGGTCCGCACCTCCAAAGTCAATGTCACAGGGTAGGGCTTTTCCTGCACAATGTCCTGGCAGCACAGAAATCACTGTTCTTAGCTGACTTGGCGCCTACAATTCTGGGGATCCAACGATAGAATTTTGGAATTGATATCTATGTGGATGATGTAGTGTAAAACATATGCTATAGAGTCCCTGAAAGCTATGGGGGAAAGGGTAAACAGAGGGAAAAAATGACCAACAAAAGGAAGTTCCATGTTCAATCTGCTACGATCTTCTTGGTACCAAAACTTTGCTTTGACTCTTCAGCTTTACAAAACAAATACCTAAATGAAGCACAGTTCAAGTTACCCCAGAAGCAACAAGCGGCTACACCGGAGCAATCATCCCATCCCATTGTCTGGGTGTTCATTTTTGGGCGATTTTCTGTAGCAGTTTCCAGAGACATTGAAGAGAGTTCCGAATGTATTTTCAAATATCTTCCACTTTGCAGGCATGATCTATGATTACTGATTATCTCTTATTATATTAGTCGACCACTGTTTAAAAGTGACAATTGTGAGGCAGCTAATAAGATCGAAACAAAATGTCTGATATGTTTGTTGGCGAAACTTCCCCATGTTGGCTCAAGACGGCCAGTCCCTTGGTCCCTTGGTCCGAAACGCTACCCCCAACTGGATTGGTTGAAAATCAACCCGTCGCTGAAACATCTGAAAATCATTGGGGACAATGAGAACAGTTATCTGGTTGGCGGTTTTAACCATCTTGAAAAATATTAGTCAATGGGAAGGATTATCCCATATATTATGGAAACAAAACATGTTCCAAACCACCAACCAGATTATGGATTCTGTGGTTCAGATACCTTCAAACAATCGATCGCTAAACTGATATAACCAGATTCCAACAAGACATTGAAGAACATCTAAAGTTACCACATACAGTACTCTCCAGCAAACTAGCATAGACCCGGAAAAGAACCAATGCTCACTGAAAATTCGTGTTCCAACAACCTATATCGGCAGGATCTGGATAAATGATACTGTAACAATTCACCAACCTGAAATATCCAAAACAAATAGGTCATTTGGGGATGATTTACCCAATCCTAAGCATTCTAGTGACGGAGCAGCGAGATTGTTACAATGCATCCAGATATCATCATCATATCCCATTGTATTCTATTAAATCACCATTGTGCCCCCGTGTCCAGGTGGTTTTATGCCAAAAATTACCAGAAATACGTTCATTGATTTACAATCCACATTCATAAATGAACCAAACAATGGGAACACATCATAAAACATCTAGCATGACAGTATTTAAAGTAATTTATATTATCTAGGTAAATTAGATCATAAATATCAACATGATATTATTAGATATAATCATATATATATATTTATATATATCAAACATATCATATGTCTGGGTAAATCACCCCAAATATCCAATTATATGGTAATATCATGTGATATGATATAAAAAATATGGTAATATATCCGATTATATGGTAATTATATGGTTATATTATATTAACGTGATCAAATCAAAAAACATCTGCCATGCAATCTCTCCATGGAATTTCCAGATCCATCAAAAAAAATCCCAGATCATCTACTGATGGATCCAGATATGTCCAATTAATATCCCATGGTATATCAGAAAAAAAAACATATGTCCCATGTATCTATGGCTCATTCTGCTTCGATTTCTGGGTGAAAACATATTATACCCCACTAAATCCCATAAATTTCCCATTATATCTCCCTTAATTCCTGGTTCTAACAATAGGTTCCACATATATCCATTGCCAATCTTAGATACCCTGCAAACAAATAAATTCTTTGCTGGCTAGCAAATAGTCCCATTAAAACCAAAAGACTAAAGGATTAAAGTACCCATGTAAGATTGACCTACCCCCCAGTTATAAGTTGGTTTATATACCCCATTAACTATAGATATATCTACCATAAACCATAGTTATTGAAGTTATAAACCAACTTGGCTAACTATAGGGCACCACATTGTAGATATATCTACCAAAAGAAAATGTGCTTCCCACCAAGCGACGAAGACCCCACCTGAGCACGGAACAGCTGCACCGACGCGTTGCCAAGACCGACTGCCACCGAACCTGCAGGTTGCGACAGGTGGTGTAGCTACAGGTCAACTGATCTGGTTTAACCCAGATTTATCATCCTAAAATGTTCAAATGTGGTTGAAAGAACTATATATATATAATTGTGTATATATATATATATATAATTGTGTATATATATATATATATGTATTCAAATAATATCATATATTTATATTTATTTAAACACACCTACCTGCCTATCTATTTATCTATCTATTATCTATCTATTTATGTATCTATCCATCTATCTATCTATCTATCTGTCTGTATGTCTGTCTATCTATCTAATCTATCTAATCTATCTAATCTATCTAATCTAATCTATCTAATCTATCTAATCTATCTAATCTATCTAATCTGTCTAATCTATCTAATCTATCTAATCTATCTAATCTATCTAATCTATCTAATCTATCTAATCTATCTAATCTATCTAATCTATCTAATCTATCTAATCTATCTAATCTATCTAATCTATCTAATCTACCTAATTATCTATCTATCTATCTATCTAATCTATCTATCTATCTATCTATCTATCTATCGAGCTATGTATCTATCTATTTATCTATCTATCTATCTATCTACCTATCTAATCTATCTATCTATCTATCTATCTATCTAACTATCAACCAATCAACCAGTCAATCAACCATTTTAATTAGTATATATATATGTCGAATTAGATAAATTATTTTCCTATGTTTACAACCAAATTCATTACTTTTTAAGACACCTGTCATTTCGGGATTACCAACATGTAGTTTATTATTCAATGAAGTATCAATTTCAGTTTTTGTATTTAAGAAAATGCTAATAAATCATCCGTTTCAGTTTCTGTACAATATGAAGTTCAAAAAATATCAGTTTCAGTTTTTTGTATAGTATGGTGTAAATAAATTATCAGTTTCTGTTATATCATAATAGGATGCAAATAAATTATCAACTTCACCCTTACCATAGTAAGGGGTGAATAGATTACTTGTTTATGTTTTTGTAGAATATTTGGACAAATCAACACTACCTCCCCCACCACCACCTCCAGCGATGTCAAGGATGTTTCTTAACCGTCCATTATTTGGGTCTATTGTTCTAAACTCGTATGCTTCCACACGCAACACTCCTATTTATATTACGTGTAATAATTTGCCATATGTTATTAGGTGATTAAAAACAACTTTGATAACGAGTCTTTTAGCATCAAATGAGTTTTTAGAAATCTTTTCAATATAAGTTCATTTTTCAAACAAGATTAGTCATAGAAAATAACAGATTGGGCTTTTATCTCCAAGATACGTTCGTGTTCAATAACGATAATTATACATTTTGTGAGGCATCAGTCCAGTATCAGTTCCGTTGTCTGTTGTATACAGGTCTGTTCCATACAAAGGCTTAACACGGACGGATTACCATATTTGAATTGTTCTTCAGATTCAGTCCATTGAAATTGGTACTGTTGAGTTTCTTTAGATTGAACCTTGCAAACCTATTTTACCCAATCAATGTCAACCAAACCATTTGCCGTTGCAGGTGACGACTGGTGTGCTTTCCATTCATTGTTTGCTGTCGCAAAGTGCCTCCATGTGTCTCCCAAAAACAGTTGTGCTCTTTTCCCACATACTTTGTGGACATCTTTGGCCCTGAATATACGACGAATGGACTGACTGTTCAGTTCTGGCGGAATCGTCTTAATCTCCCCTGCAGTCTGCTGCCCTGAAACCCTCAAAAGCACGAATCCCAATAAACGTCACAGAGTCTGGAATCGTCAAGGTCCCCAACGATCTGCAACCATCAAAAGCACAGGCACCAATGTGCGTCAGGGTGTTTGGAATCGTTAACGTCTGCAACGAAGTGCAACCAAAGAAAGCCCAGACAGGAATGCATCTGACAGAGTTAGACATCCTCAAATTCAGCAACGAAGCGCAATGACAGAAAGCAGCGTCACCAATTAAAGTCACTGAGTCTGGAAGAAACAAGTTGACTAATGAATGACAATAAGCAAAAGACAAACAGCCAATCTCCGTCACAGAAGTTGGAATCGTCAAGCTTTTCAACGAACTGCAACCCACAAAAGCAGAGTCCCCAATGGAAATCACAGAGTTTGGAATCGTCAAGCTCTCCAACGAACTGCAACTCGCAAAGGCAAATAACGCAATGGACGTCACAGAGTTTGGAATCGTCAAGTTCTTCAACAAACTGCAACCCTTGAAAGCAGAGTCCCCAATGGAAGTCACAGAGTTTGGAATCGTCAAGCTCTCCAACGAATTGCAACCCTCAAAGGCAGAGTTCGCAATGTCAGCCACAGAGTTTGGAATAGTCAAACTGCAACCCTTGAAAGCAGAGTCCCCAATGGAAGTCACAGAGTTTGGAATAGTCAGGCTCTCCAACGAACTGCAACCCTCAAAGGCATAATTCTCAATATCCGTCACAGAGTCTGGAATCGTCAAGCTCTCCAACGAACTGCAACCCTCAAAGGCAGAGTTCGCAATGTCAGCCACAGAGTTTGGAATAGTCAAGCTCTCCAACGAACTGCAACCCTTGAAAGCAGAGTCCCCAATGGAAGTCACAGAGTTTGGAATCGTCAAGCTCTCCAACGAACTGCAGCCCTCAAAAGCAGAGTCCCCAATGTTTGTCACCGAGTATGGAATCGTCAAGCTTTTCAACGAACTGCAACCCTTGAAAGCAGAGTCCCCAGTGGAAGTCACAGAGTTTGGAATCGTCAAGCTCTCCAACGAACTGCAACCCTCAAAGGCAGAGTTCGCAATGTCAGCCACAGAGTTTGGAATAGTCAAGCTCTCCAACGAACTGCAACCCTTGAAAGCAGAGTCCCCAATGGAAGTCACAGTGTTTGGAATCGTCAAGCTCTCCAACGAACTGCAGCCCTCAAAAGCAGAGTCCCCAATGTTTGTCACCGAGTATGGAATCGTCAAGCTTTTCAACGAACTGCAACCCTTGAAAGCAGAGTCCCCAATGGAAGTCACAGAGTTTGGAATCGTCAAGCTCTCCAACGAACTGCAACCCGCAAAAGCAGAGTCTTCGATGTTTGTCACAGAGTTTGGAATCGTCAAGTTCTTCAACGAACTGCAACCCTTGAAAGCAGATTTCCATATGTCAGCCACAGAGTTTGGAATCGTCAAGCTCTCCAACGAACTGCAGCCCTCAAAGGCAGAGTTCGCAATGGTCTTCACAGATTTTGGAATCGTCAAGCTCTTCAACGCTCTGCAGCCGTAAAAGGCATACTTCAAAATAATAATCACATATTTTCCAATCGTCAAGCTCCTCAAAGAACTGCAACCCAGGAAAGCTTGCTTCCCAATGATCTTCACAGAGTTTGGAATCTTAAGCTCTGCCACGAACTGCAGCCTTCAAAAGCATAATCCCCAATATCCTTCACAGAGTTTGGAATCGTCACGCTCTCATACAAAAAACTGCTAGCCGCAAAAGCACCTTTCTCTATTCTTTTTCACAGAGTTTGGAATTGTCAAGCTCTCCATCGACGACTTGCAACCCTGCAAGGCTTTGCTCGAGTCTTTGTCTATACGTTTTGGAGTGAAGAAGAAGGCTGGACTCATGCATCTTGAAACATATTTATGTAGGATTTGTGTCCAGAACAGATGTGATACGTTCCACGTGATACAAGCCACAAGTACGGCGAAATTACGCAGCCGCTGTTTGCGGTACCTTCCTGTTGCCATAGTCGAGTTGCGTGAGGGTACAAAATCACAACCCTGCGCAATCCGACGAGAACAGTTTGAGCATAAGGACTTCCAGAAGCACACAGGGATGGTTAGCACATGTAAAGACTCAAACCAGGGCAATAACTAGAAGAGGATAGATGCAAAAGTCTGATTGGATTGGATGAAGACCCAAGAATACGAACAAGCAAGGGACTGACAAGAAAGTGAACAGAAGGAAAAAGAGGTACAGTATATTCTTACTTGGATAGATCCTGGCAAGAACAAGACAGTCATAGGTACTCAAACAGGTTTCAATGCAACAATTGCCCTTTGACAATCGATGTTCAACCATTCAATTCAGTCAATGCTTACTCCATCACCAACATCAAGTTTCAAGGCATCAAAGCATTACAACATCCGAAATACGAAGACTTGAAAATCAAACAGTTCCGTCAGAAATACAAGGGAAAGAACATCAGATTACAAGTCATCAGTCATCACCACGTTCAACAGCAAGGAGAAGGAGTTGACAAGTGTAAAAATCGAGGACTTTAATTTGGAGAATGTAGGAGTGATTGCTGACTTTGGAAGTGAAAGCGAAGATGAACACGAATGCGATAGAAAAATAATAGAAAGAGAAAACGCAGAGATAATGAATTTTGTCAAAAGTCATCCTATGCCTTCGCCAAATGATGACAATGAATGCTGTGAAACAATAACCAAGTATGTTAGGTTTGACATCATCCGAAAAATGTATGAAAACTTGGTTGGTAGAGACATCACCATTCAACTTGAACAGAGACGGAGAGATGAACACAATGTTGATAAATCATTACAGATCTGTTGGAAGGAGCAATCAAACAACTAAACAAAGGAAATGAACTACCATATTCACGAATGAGAGTGATTGAATGGTGGTGGGATGGAATAGGAACTTGGAGAGGATAAAATTAATTCAGAATATCTGAATCAAGATTAATAAAGTATATCATGACCTAATCACCAACCCAAACACAAACATAAAACCTAGGAGCAACAGCAATTCTCCCCCTCATCTTAAACCAAGCAATGAAGTGAAAGTTCGGGGCAAAATTGTCCCACAATCCCCACCACATAAAACACCAAAGGTAGGGAAGAAACATTGAACAACAACATAAAAACCATAACAACCAACACATAACCTTGGGATGTCCCAGCATCCCTGTTTTACCATGTTTTTATGGGAATTTCAGGATCCTAAAATGGAGGTGCTGTACCATATAAGGGCATATTTTCTAGAAATATTCCCTTACATAGGCCTTATACAGGCCCTATATATGGTAGGTACCTCCAATTTAGGTTCCTGAAATGGCCACTGATGTCAAGTAACACACCAAAAAAACACATCAAGTGGGTGTGTCTGAAAATATGGTACCCCATGGTACCCCAAAATAGCATTTTGAAGGCTGTTAGTGGTACAGTATATCCCATTTTCAGTCAAACCCTGGGTTAAAACATGGTAAAACATGGCTATCAAAACATGTCAAAACCTTGGCAGCCTATAGGAATATCTAGGAATCTTCATAGCTGGTAGTATAGCTGTTTCATTTCATAGCAACCGACCCATCGGCGCCTGCAGAGCGTCCGACGCAAAAGGCCGCGATGCAGCAGGCCTGACGCATGCTGAAGCATGGGGTTGTTGATATAAGCTATAGCCAATGGGATGTTTATTGGATTGGACAGCCATCAATGGCTTGGAATACATAGGATATCATATCTTATATGATGGGAATATAATGGGGATTTAATGGTGATTTGAGATGTTTTAATGGGCATTTAAGGAGATTTGATAGGATTTAGTTGGATTTAATAGGATTTTATTGGGATTTGACATGTTTTAGCGGGATTTATTGGGATGTATACTACGTAATCAACTTGATATGATTGATTTGTTTGAACATGGGCTATACCCCCAATTGTGGGATACAAAAAACATGGAACATGGTGGAGAACAGGAACTGTTTTTCACAGCACTTTACGCAGCAAAAGTGTGGTAGTTAAAAAAAAGACATGTTTTAAAACTATAAGGGGAATCATCCCCAAATAGCCGAACTATTCAGGTCAGTGAAGTATTATAATTTACTCAGACGATTGGTAACAACCGATGAAAAAACTGGTTGGTGGTTTGGGAAAAAATCCTGAACCATGGAAATCTTAGCAGTCTGAGAGCAGTCCACAACTCTCTTCCAGGCAGAGGATAACTTCATGGATCCTCGATGCCGAAAATCGCTGCACACGTACCATGGACCAACAAAATCCTACCACGACCGCCGCCAGGGTTTTCTGGTAGAGATAGGAGTTAGGAGTTAGAACGTTGTTCCTTTTGGAAATAAAACCAGTCCAATTTCATTGAAGTAAAGATAGAAGATGTTGTTTACTATCGTTCTGTTTTCATGGCGATCCATGTTTCGATCCTTCCGAGGATCACTACATGTACTGAGCAAGTGATTGCCGGTGGATTGTACAAAATAACCCATGTTTACCTTGACACTGGGTGTGGACAACCCTGCATGCTTTCCAGTGAACATCGAAGAAAGCGAGTTCAAACGGTTCACTGAACATTGCCAGAGCGCACGAGGGGCTCCTTAATTTTTAAGCCTTTCCCAAGTGGCCACAGGCAACTGACAAATCGCTTCTGCTAACACTTGCAGGGCGTCTCTAATTCTGAGCTACTGTAAACTGGTTGGTGGTTGTGACATCCGTCCAATCTGAAAATTCAGAGGGTATGTCATCCTAGGATGAAAAATAAACAAACATCACAGCACCAACCACTACATGTCGGGTCATGTCGGGTCACGGAACGATTTTTCAATCCTGCGCATTTGGCAGCGGAGATTGTCGTTCAGAGGATCCCTTGGTGCAACAAAAACGCTACGTTGCCATGGCATCTCTGTAGAGCACAGCAAGGACACATGTGGTACAAATCCAGGTGCATCATGGCTGTATAGCCACCCCCAAAACTAGATCCGGAAAAATCTTGAGTCATTCATCACTAAATCTAAATCTTGGGGAATTTAGATCATGATTCTTCAAAAATTTAGATCATGATTTATCACTAAATCTAAATCTTTGGATCTAACTTTGGGCCGTTGAAAAAGTGTTCAAATCATTCAAATCATCCGCTGGCCATCAGGGATGTCCAGCGTCAGGCCTCAGTGGCCAAGCGGGCTACTAAACACCAGGAATTCCATGGAATTCATAGTGTTTTCCAAAACAGGAATTAATATATGACATTGGTATATACTGAGTTATTTTATCATAATATGTTAAGTTATATATATCATAACTTCTAATGTATAATATATTGTATCTGTTTTATTATAAATTATAGTTATTTACCCTCTGGTAGTTTAACGTAGCTATGGAAAATCACCATTTTCAATGGGTAAATCCACTATTTCTATGGCCATTTTCAATAGCTACGTTAAATTACCAGAGGGTATAATGTATAATACGTAGTATTATGTTGTATCTATATAAATATATTATAAAGGTACGTACGCTGGTCAAACGACTCACATTGTTATCCACCATCTCAGTTGGCTACAGTTGGCTATTTGTGGTATATAACGTACATAGTACTGCTTGGTGCAATGTGCCCATCTTAAATTATATGGTTAATATATGGTTAATATATGGTTAATATATGGTTATTATATGGTTATTATATGGTTAATAATAATTATCTGGTTGCTGGTGCAATGTGCCCATCTTGAAAAATGATGGACTTCGTCAATGGGCTTGGGATGACATCATGATGACATCCCATAAATGAAATGGAAAATAATCCAGTCATGTTTGAAACCACCAACCAGTGTAAAGCCGCAAATGTATGTGCATAGCCACTTTTATTGGCTCTACTGGCAGGTCACCCGACCCTGACGCAAAAGAGTGGCAATAGTAACCCTGCTTCGCTTTGGCAGAGCTAATGACATCTGGGGCCATGAGGTCCTGGGCGGATGTAGAACCAATGAGCCACCTACAAGTGCAGTAGATGTCACTGGGGGGATCTTGGGGATATACTTGGTGCTTCATCCCACGAATCGTAAGTAGGTTAGTTCACCCTGATTACCAAACCTGATTATAATTGGGCTAAGTAGGTTTAGTTCACTTATAACTGTGGTTTTAACTCAATTACTAACTGGGATGAACCACCAAGTACAGAATGTGGTATGCTACGCCAGGTGTGTCTGAAATACCCCAACAAACGACAAGTTTCATGGGGAAGATGAAGATAGAGGGGGGCGCATTCTCAAACAATCCCAGAAGGGCGGCCGTTGGTGGCATGTATAATTTATCTCACACACACTCCAAACTACTACTGTATATTTTTGTTAGTGTTTTATGCAGCATGTGGCCTGTAGAACACAACAAAGCACATGTTTTTTTTCAGATAAACATCTGCTGGGTCAGGATCGTTTTGGCCCCACAAATGGGATTCACATCCAAGCAGCAACGGTGCTTGAGTAATTGGTGGCTGAGCCACTGTCATTGCTGGATGTTTGAATTGTTGTCAAAATAGCAAACATGTGTCCTATATAACACTGGTTGGTGGTTTCAACCCCTCTGAAAAATATGAAAGTCAGTTGGGATGATTATTCCCAATATATGGAAAAATAAAAAATGTTTCAAACCACCAACCAGAACATTAAAAACAATACTTAAGATGCCAAGATATGAACCTTGAATAACCTTGAATGACTAAACAGACTTGGGACCCAGACATATTTCACCCTGGCCCCTGACGTGGCCGTGGCCCCTTCTTCGTGACGAGTTTCGCAGGCCTGGGTATTTGCATGGTACTGCACACCTTGACACTTCAAATAGAGGAGGCACTGAGCCATGCATTGATGGAGACTCGTGGCCGCCTGTTTTGCCTCGGTCACACGAAACTTCACCGATTTGGGAGGAGTTGGAAAAGCCTTGGAGAGCTCGAGTTTTTGACAAAAAGTGGAGGCTTTCCTAAAAATGGACCCCCAAAATCAGACATGGTTTTGGGGATCCACTATTTTTAAGAATAATTTTAAGAACCCCCAAGTTGAAGTGGCCAAGGTCCGAAAGCCACCGGCTTTTTGCACCAGAATGAATGAATCCTGCTATAATTTCCCAGGGCAGGAATCGAACGAAATTCCAATGTGGATGATGATCGATACTATTCAATTCAAACCGCGTGTAAACTGGGTGAACGTGAAAGACCAACCACCAAACAAGTTTTGGACTGCAGCGTGAAGCAGATCTTTAAATATAATGCGCAACTCTTGAACCACTAAAAAAACACCAAACACCACGCACCATGGAAAAAAACCTTAACCCAGTTTTACTGATCCTTCCCCAAAAAGTCGGAAGTTTTCACGGCCGAGTCTCCACCCCGCGCTGATGCTTCGACATCGGTTCCGTTATGCACTGACTGTCCTCGCCGCTGGGGCTGTTGACACCGGTGAAGAACTTGGAGATGGCAGAAGAGGGACCGTGAAGCGAGAACACCAACCTGCGGAGGGATGTCGCATGGGCAGATTTCATGTGGCTGACACGGCTGTAAATCATGTGTCTAAGCCATATAATTATATATATGTATATGTATATATATATATATATATATAGCAAGGGTATTTCAGGTCAATATCCATATATACGTGTATATATATATATAAATAAAATACATCTATATATATATATGGATATATGTACGTATATAAATAAATATACATTCATATGTAAATATAATTATGTATACTCACAACATACATATTTACATAAACACACACACATATATATATATGCATACATATGTGTATATATATATATATATATCTAAAGAACTTTAGTGAACCGGGGGAGCCAGAAGAAAAGGAGAGTATAATGGGTCAGCGGTAAAAGTAGAAATGGGATGGATTGCGACTGGTGTAGTTTCTTCACCAAGAATGGGGAACATCATGGATTATGATGGTTATAAGTTAAAGGCTCTTCAGGATAAAAAGCTTACAGGGGCAGCAATGTTACAATCAGGAAACAAAATAAATACCAGTCTCAGTGCTACTGGCATTTGACAAAATAGACTTTTCAAAGGTTTGACAGAAAATCTAGTCTAATCAGTCTAATCCAATAAAAAACGTTTTGGCCTTGACATATCTGGCAATCAGACATGAAGCAAAAGCAAGCCATGGCTGGAAACAAAGGCGTCTTGATGCCCCAAATCGGTTTGCACTTTTGTTTGTTCAAACGACTTCTGTTCTCATACCCGGCCATGTCCCGCCCGACAACAAATTGGCAGGAACTAGGCGGCTTTCCAAACAAGGCGCATCTACTCCAACAAGTTTGGTTGAGGCCGGTACAATAAGCAAAACCACCTACTAAGTATGCATCCTTGACATGGAGTTTGTTTCTTGCCAAAAATGCTTCAGCCAAAACCATTCTCTGTGAAACAACTCGTCCCCGGTGGCAACCAGCATGAGGGGTTCTCAAGTGACAGCTGTCTACAAAAGAGTGGAACAACAAAGGCCCCATTGCAAGCAGAAACCTCTTTCCCGGAATTTAGTGTAGACGCCTTCACTACACGATTACGTGGGAAGGACAGTGCATAGCAAATTTTACTCTACAACAATCAAAGCCTGGACGCTTCCCCCACGTGCCCTGGAAGGATGCAAATACCTTATTCTGCCCACTGCGTTCAATGATTTACGCCGGCTGCCGTGATCACCTGTGTGAGCATTTCCAATACATTGTTGGCCAATGGGCATCAAAGAGTTTTTGCTACTGAGGTATAGCGGCATTAAGACTTTCAGCTGCGCCGAAGTCTGGTAGAGCAACTCATCCATCTTGCATTGCGACCATCTGCGCCAGCTCCGCTTTGAGGAAAGCCACCTGCTCTTCCATTGCTTTGATCTTCACTTTGTGCTCTTCAATGGCAGAAGCCCTGCGTTGCTTCTTCTGTTCGTCCATCTGCCCCAGGAAAGACGTCTGTTGCAAAAGCAACAAAGTCATCTCCACCTGCACAATAGAGATCTGGGACACTGATGTCAAGGTACTCAATGATCCGCGCAAAGTCCAAAACGGAACGAAGCCAGGCTGACTGGTCGCCACGATGGAGCCATTCATTTGCTTGTCCTGTCGGCAAGGTTCCACGGGCTGGTCATTTTGTGGGTTTGTGGGTGGGTTTGTGGCTTTGCGGCTTTGTGGGTTTGTGGCTTTGTGGGGTTGTGGGGTTGTGGGGTTGTGGGGTTGTTGTGGTGGGGCTGTGGGGTTGTGAGGTTGTTGTTGTTGTTGTTGTTGCGGGGTTGTGGGGTTGTGGGGTTGTGGTTGTGGGGTTGTGGGGTTGTGGGGTTGTGGGGTTGTGGGGTTGTGGGGTTGTGGTTGTGGGGTTAATAAAATCACAAACTTAAGAATGCATCCCAGATCGTAGGGTATTAGTTTGTAGGGGCTTGCCCGTTCATGATTTTCAGGAATGCCTACCTGATCTCAGAAATGCCTAGGTGATTTGAAAATGACATAGGCATTTCTGAAATTTAGGTAGGCTAATCTGAAATTTGGTAGACTAATTTGTTGTCCAGAACGTTGTGCAAACAAATGTGGTTTCATTTTTTTACAAAATACTAAAAAAAAACAAAATATTTTCAAAAAGATAAAATCTAAAATATGGTAAAACGTTGATTGAACGTTTACCTGCGGTTGTGTTATTATTGTGAAGAGTCTTCTTAGTAGACCTCACCTGCGTGAATTAAATCATGTCATTGCTTCGATCATGTGTGTGACTTGTGTCAATTTTGTCAATTGAACCGGTCAATTCTGTCAAAAAATTTTAAAAAAATGTCAAAATTTTAAAAACAAATGAAAAAAAATCACTAGGCAAGAAATCATGCCATGCCCAACATGCTTTGACCCAAGCATGCAGAAACACAAATCGACAATTGTCCAAGTGGGCAAAAGAATGAAGATGAGAAGCTGAACTCAATTAGTCAGTCAGTCAATTGTTTCAAGTGCCACAATCAGCTGAAGTCAATTGATCCAATTGCCACTTCTCGCCGAGCCTGCAAGCAAGTTATTAAGAATTACTTTTGAAAAAATGCAAGCAGGACCAGCAACAAACAGTAGGCAGGCCTAGAGCGTCATCCAGACCTGATCTGGTTCTTGAGTCTTGCTTTGGGAATGCGAATGGGAAGTGATATTAATAAATGTCAAAGAAGTCAAGCATGCCTGCATTGAACTCTTGGTAGCGGAGCAAGCTTGGTAGCGGAGCAGAACAATTCCAACCTCAGTACACATATTTGAAGTATTTCAAAAAGCCAAAGGGCTAATGACTCAATTGAGCTAATTGACTGAAGCACATGAGATGGCAAGCGCTGAACTTGCAGTGCTCTGTCACTGATTGCGCATTTTTTTTGCTGGAGCAAATGCCATGTTGCCTCTTGACCCCACAGAGACGGTCAAAGTTGACAGAGGGACGCACCACTCAGGTGAGTCAGCACAAAAGAACCCTTGGGCTATAGTACTCTTGTCGCATTCAAGACACTTTTGAATGGACAACGCTGAGCAAATTGAGCGTTGTGAAGTTTTCACGAAGCTCGAATCTGCTCGTAGATTTGGGCGACACAAGCGCCAAACTCTGGCGTGTAGTGCTCGCTTTCGATGAGCATCTCCTTATTGCCAGTGTAAGTGTGGCTTCCATCCCAGCTCTGGCCACTGGAAGCCAAATTGTCCAAGCCATCTGGCCTTGGCCTGGCGATGGCTGCAAATAGGGAGCCAGGCCCTGAAGACGGATGCCAGATCTGGAGAGGCTTGCTTGTTGGGCCAGCAAAGCTTCCCATGTAGGTCACTGTCTTCTTGAAGTCGAAGAACCACAAAACATTACGAAGGGATGGTAGTTTTGGAAGCACACTCCCTGTGGGTTGCTCCAACACCGGAATGCAATCCAAGAGGAAACTGAAGAACATCATCATTGCAGTTACTTCCTGTTGAAGGTTGCCCTGCTCCACCCATGGCCTGCTTCTATCCCCGTAGAATGAATTCTCCTCATATCTCATGCTTTGAGAGATACAGAGCGGGACGAAGCTCGAGCATCTGGTAGCAAACCAGTGTAACGACTTTCGCCGAGAAGCCACTACCATGTCAAACCAAGTCCTCAGCCCCTTGGAACTCAACATGTCATGGTGGGGATGAAAAAGAATGTCCACAGAAGCTCCTTGGTGAAATCCTTGACGCAGCATCTCTCGACTGAGATGGGCTCGGCCAGCACAAAACTCAACAAATTCCAATTGATCCAATTCATTGAAATTGACCAAATTGAAAAGAAACCTTTCAGCAACCAGCACCATCATCTCCAAGCACGATGTTGCGCCGCGCAAAAAAGGATATGCTTCACACAAAAATGAAGGCCACACTTTCGAGGCCCTGCCGCCATTCTCTTGGTCAAAATCAAGAAAGTCTTGACATGTGGACTTGACATGATGCAGTCCTTCTGGCCAGTCGACACGCCTGCAGGGCAATTAACAAAATGGACTTCGAGGTTATTCATTGATCATCAAAGAATGATTTCAATTTCAATGCATGTTGTCTCAATTTTCCAAGAACAAAAACAGCATCAGCGCCTATTGAATTTGCTGAAGGCCAAGAAATCATAGAAATCTAACGAAGAAATCTGTTGGAGCTTGTCATCCAGCCATTTCTCTTGATCGTCATCTTCTGAAGCTGCACTTGGGCCTTGAAGGCTGGCACTGGCTGTCACAGTGGACAGCACCATCACCGGAAGAAACGCGAGGCCAGCTTGCTGGTCCATGATGAATAAATTGACACAAATGACCAAAATGGCAAAACCAACAAATGTGCTCATGGGCCAAAAAACCTGCGGTAAAAGAATTAATCAATCCAGTCCACAATTTTGTTTGGTTTCTTCACTGACAACAATACCAGTCCAAGGCTTCTGACCCTGCGTATAAAAGTAAAGGCTTCCTGAGTCCTTGGCCTGATGATGAATCTGGCAGCCTGCATTGGCATTGAAAGACCATCCCGGCACAAACTTCAAGCTTCAATACCACTGGCCACTACACAAATCAATCTGGTTCAAGTCAATTGAGTCAATTCACAATGACACATGACAAGCAGGCCCCAACATTTGACAAAGCATTGAAAAAATACCATCCAGGTGCAACCCTCAGGCTGTAATACCACACAAATCAATCAATTGAGTCAATTCACAATAAACACAAGCAGCCCAACATGTGACAGGATTATTTGATTCCCTTTTAAACACAGCATCTTCTTGCGATTTTGCAAGTGCATCAGGTGAAGGACTTGCTTCAACCAGAGCGTCTTACCAAGGCCCTAAGGCGATGACTTTGTCATCCCAGCGCTCTTCTACTTTCTCCTGTTATAATTCCTAGGAGGTGGCAGCGCACGCATCTCATCTTTGAGGCCTTCAAAAACTTCATCTGGGACTTCTCCTGGAATTTGATCTCGGATTCCAGGCCCCAATTCCAACCCAGCCAAGACGAACTTTTCCCACATCCAAGTGTGCACTTCTTGAAGTGCGGTTTTCCAGTCACCTGTTGCTTTGAAATTTCTGGAATAATACATTTGTCTCTGGGTTGAATCCCACAGCTCATGTTGAACCGTTCTATTCTTGTCCATCTCGACTTGAAACCTGTGCGCATTCTTGTCAAGCCTCAACTTGAACCAACTGTTGGGCTCAATGCTTCTGAGGAGGGCAGGTGTTGAGTGCACTCGAGGCCCGACATCTCTGCCAGGCACAGGCGCTGGCCGAGCTGGCTCAGCCGGTTGAGCCGGGGGTGCAAGTTCAGCAGCAGGAGCTGCTGCTTCAGCAAGTTCAGCAGCAGGAGCTGCTGCTTCAGCAAGTTCAGCAGGAGGAGCTCCTTCAGCAACTTCAGCAGGAGAAGCTCCTTCAGCAACTTCAGCAGCAGGAGCTGCTTCTTCGGCAAGTTCAGCAGGAGGAGCTGCTGCTTCAGCAAGTTCAGCAGGAGGAGCTGCTGCTTCAGCAAGTTCAGCAGGAGGAGCTCCTTCAGCAACTTCAGAAGGAGAAGCTCCTTCAGCAACTTCAGCAGCAGGAGCTGCTTCTTCGGCAAGTTCAGCAGGAGGAGCTGCTTCCTCAGCAAGTTCAGCTGCTGCTTCAGCACGTTCAGTTTCGTTTGCTTCACCTGGATTTGGCAGTGGGTCCTCCACACCTGAATTGACGCAATTGCCTGAATTGACAAAATTGACTTGAGCTTCTTCTTCCTCCAAATCCTCTTCGTCTTCCATCTTCACAGCATCGCTTGCTTCCTTGCCTGGTCGCTCGTCATCAGCTTCCCTCTTCCTTTTTCTTCCACTACTGCTTGCAGCCCCTTTTCCTGAGCCTCGGCCACTTCTTCCTTTGCCTTTGCTTCTTCCCTTCACCTTCCCTTTGGCTTTGGATTTGCCTTTGCCTTTGGCAGCCTTCTTCTTGGCTTTTTCCTGGAAGTGGAAAAAACGCAGATGCAATAACATGCCTGTCTTGGAAAAAAAATGAAAAAATTGAAATGCAGCTGGAACAAACTAGCCAGACCAGCAACATTAAACATTTTAATCATCCAAGTTGCTGCTTGCTCCTCCATTTTTTCGTTGAGCAATTTGCGCCACTTCAATTGCTTCTGAGTTTTCTCCTCCCTGTAGACATTCTCCTTGACAGAGCGAAACTCCTTCTGCTCATCCGCGTCCAAGTGGTCAAACACAGCTTTTACCAAAGCTGCTTGATCTGGATCAGATGATGACTTCTTTGTCGTCTTAGAGTCGCACTCCAAGACCAGCTCTGCAAAGTCATCTCCGAAATGCAACGCCAGCTTCAAAAGGATGTCCTTCCTAGACTTCTCTTTGATTTCGGAGCCAAAAAGATGCCTCCCCATCAAGCAAAGATCTGTGAATGTCAGGCCATTGGAGCGCCGCAAGCAATTCTGCGCAAATGTTTCAGGAGGCCCAACCTGTTGCCAGTGGATGCCAAACTCATTGCTCCAGACTAGCTTTGTTTGAAAAGCTGGCATGTTCAGAGAGCATTGCAGCCATTGACAACTTGACGACGAATCCAAAACCCATCGCATCATGCGATAATCATCATCAGCAGCGTCCACAAGCTTCAACGGCCAAGCAAGGGCTTGCCACTTCAAATTGCCCAAAATGAGTAGATAGACAAAATTGACTTCAAGCACTTGCCCTTGAAAAGCAAGGCGGTTCAGAAGACCATCCTGACGGGTAATTCAACTGACACAAAAACATTTGCTACACATCATTTTGGTCATTTTCGTCACTTCCCTGGCCTCCAGGCGAACACCTTGGTCAGCAAGCCTTTGCCCGCAGTATTGAATCATCCATTGCCATGCCCCGTATGAGGTTCGAAGCCAATCCTCACTGACAGTGCGCCACATCTTCTTCGTCAGAATCTCTGAGTAGCGAGCTGGTAGACTATGGCTGGATGATTTGAATTCCTGGCGGCAGTTGAAATCATCTCTGGCATCAGGCCACTTGTCCAAGAATTCTTCACGGGTTACGGCAGCTGGATGGACGATCCCTCTCTTGTCCAAAACCTCAGAGAATTGGCAAACAAGCTGCAACGTAGCTCCAGAGAGCTTCTTGTTGCTGCCTGGGTTCGTGGCCACCCTGCATGCTTGGTGAATGTCCTCAACCACTTTTGAATCCGCAAAGCCACCAATCAGCAGCTTGGCCAGCTCTTGCGCTGCTCCAAAGTCAAAATGACACAAATGACACAAATGACACAAATGACGACAAGGCAAATCGAAGACCGTCTCAATGTCACTGGCAAGCTCTGCTGCAAAAGGAGCCATGCTGCACCGCAAGGATTGAAACCAACGATACTCCTTCAAGAGCCGCATTCTTGTCACCTGTGCTTGCTGGGGATCTAGAAGCCCAACCCATGTCTCAGGTGGAGCTGAGAACTTGGAAAGCGTTGCGCAACGATTCATCAAGCATCCAAGAGCATAGGTATTCACTCTGGCAATGAAGGCCTCCTGGTCAGGCACAAACCGCTCAACATCGGCCCAAGTTTGAGCACTCCACGATTCAGCAAGGGCCTGGAGAGACTGATGACTCATCCATGACTCGACCATTTCCAAAGATTCAATGAGTGAATGCTCTGGGCTTTTGACATCATGGATCTGCTGCGAGTACCACGAACACATTCCATATTGAACTCTGAAGATGATGTGGGCATCTTCCCAATACATCTGTGTCAAACACCCTTTGAGGCCTACCAAACCAGACTCACCCTGTCGGAGCACCCTTCCATACCAAAGTCATTGGCAATCCTCTCTTTCAATGCCTGAAACCATTGGCAGTCCTGAGCTGCTTCAAAACTTGATTTCAAATATGATTTGTTCCAGTAGCCTACATTCGCAAACAAACAAAATCAACAACCAACTTCAGCAAAAAAGTGAGATCCAAGCAAATGACCCAGGATCAAAGCTGTTGGATTCAAAGAATGCTTCCAAGATCTGAGTTTTTTCCGTAAACCATTGGCCACTTCCAAAAGGCTTGGTGTTGACGCTGAACAGATACGTTGTTGCCAAAACACAAGATTCCAAGCCAGCTGCTTTGATTGGGTTTTTCAGGTCTCTCAACAGGCGGTGAATCTTGTCGAAGGTGAAGTGGATTTGGAGGCCAGCTTGGGAAGTGACAAAGGCAGCAGCTGCGCAGCCAACTTTGCCTTGGTCCATGATGCAATGCAAACAAGGCAAATCAGACAATTGACGTAATTGACTTAATTGAAACTCCTCTCCATTCAGCACTGCGACATTGTCGTCAAAGAAGAAGTTATCGCCTGGTTGCAGCTCCAACATTTTGAGCAAGACTTCAGGAAATTTAAAATCATCCGAGCGAAGGTCGGTCAACTTGAATATCTGGGCCGAAAGGCCTTGCAAGAACTTCAAGCTGCTAAGCCGTTCAATTTCCCGTCTCGCTGCCAAGCGCTCTGCTTCTGGTGTCAGCTCCATCTCCTGTGGGTGTAACACTTTTGTTGACCTGACGTGAACTGAGCACATGTGAGCCCCTACTCCATTTACAGGGTCATAGGCCAGGCTCATCAGGTAGTCCTTGTTGCTATGAGTTGAGGCATCCGTGACAATGGCGAAGTTCTTCACATTCAAGAAACTTAGCCTTGATGACTGCCTGTACATTGACAACAATTTTCTCTGCCAAACCCACGTCAGCTGCTCACTGATTCCTCCTTGTGGGTCATCTTTTCGCAGAGCACAAATCTTTTGGTATGACACCCCAGTATCCTTGCTTTGCTCAATGACACGCCAGATCTCATGAGGACTCATCTTCCGCAGATTTGCATCGGAGTTCCTGTTTGGCAAGGTTCAAAACCTTTAATTTCCACACCTTCGAGAATTCACACAGGCACAAAACTATTTTACAGTAAACAAAAAGTAATGCATTTTGACTACCACCTAGCCTTCTCACGCGTCTGGATGGCACTGGCTGAGAATCGTCCTGCTGGGTCATCATCTCAAGCATCACATTGTTGACAACCCACGCCACAAACTTGAGAACGCATTGTTGCAGATTTCTCATGCTATCGGTGGAGAAAGGGGGAGGCTGTCGAAACGAATGGGCCGCCTTGTAGGAATGTATAAAATTGACACAAAACATGAGTAAATCCACCAAGGAAGGCTCCTCATCATCGTTGCTGGAAATGTCTGATGTCAGAAGTGGCCCATTGTCTTCCCTGGCCATCCACTTCCACAGTGTAAGCCATAATTGAACCACCTGTTTGTGAACATGTCTTCCGAGCCACAAACGAAAGCCTTGCAACTTCCCTGTAGGCAGAACATGCATAGGAAAGTCACCAACTGAAAACTTCAGCACATCATTGTGGCGACTTGCTTCCTGGGTGACCAGCATGCCAACATCTTTGAAATAGTTTCTCATAGTCAGCGCTTTGGCATCAGTTCTTGTTTTGTTGAGCAAGTCGAGCAAAAAGTGCAAGACAAGCAATGTGCTCACTGCATCAACGGCCAAGCACCCTCGCCTGCACAACAAATGCAGATGATTACTCTTGATTACATAATTGAAACAACCTCTTCAATGTCAAATCATGTCTAACATAGTTCGACCATGATTCATCAAGGACAATTTTGTTTTGGGCAAATTGGCTAGCCTTCTTTCCTTTTTCACATGCAAATCTTCCCTGGACAAGTGTTGCCCTTCACAGCATTGTTCCTGGAGCTCCTTTAACATCTTGTACTTCTGCTTCTTTTCGCCCAAAGCATGAAGGTTGTCATAGACATAGGCAAAGTCCCACATGAAGCCAGCAGGTCCATTGTAGCCAACTTGGCCAAACTTCAGCAATGGGTGATCGCAAGCAAAGGGCTCCAAGTCTGTAGTCAGGGACTGAAAGTCGTCACGCCCTTCCTGACTGTCACTACCGCCATCATCGAAGTCCATGAGACAATTCACACAATTGACTCCATTGAACTACCTGAAACTCAAATGATGTCTTACAGATTGGCCATGGTTTAGGTTTGTGATGTCTTACTGATTGTCCATGGTTTGGCACCATTGCTGCAATTCAAACATCATTTGTTCAAAGCCTGAAGATTGTTTGGTTTGATTGTCATGATTCTTGTTTGGTTGTCTTATGAATCATTATATATAGTTTTTTTCAATTCAATTGAAGTCAATTGATCCAAATCTGGCAGGCACATACCAACTCACCAATGTGCGAACAGCAATGAATGACTTCCGGCAGTCTTGACAGTTCAACTGTTCAACTTCACCATCATCATTGCACAAGTGTAAAGAATTCAGAAAGTCAGTGAAGTTCCAGCCTTCTCACTCCACAACGAAGCCTGCAGAAAAGTAAGCTACAGAAACAACACAAGTAAAAAAAGGATCTCCAGCACAAGCTTTTAACGATTCAATGAAAGCAGCTTGCAATAGCAATAGCATAACAATGCATTTTCCCCATCATCTCTTCCAATGGAGCTTCAGACCAACGCCTTTGCTGCTGGCAAACCACAATTGCAACTCACACACCTCAATTGATGGCAATTGACACAAATGAAGTGCGTCAAAGCTAAAGTGGTCCGGCATTTAGCTGACTCCACTGCAGAGAGAATCCCCCCAAAATGAGACAAACTATAAAATTCGATGATGGCCAGCCAATGGTTCAAAAAAACAAAATTGAGATTATACTATAGACAACTCATAAACAACTCTGCTGCAACTTAAAGTTTCCTCACTGGCTTGACCAAGCCATCTGCCAACTAGATTGGGCCAAGTTCAGCCATCGGATCATCTGCCAGTCACTCACTCAGACTCACATGAAGTCCACAACCTCGAAGTCATCCGCTCCTCGAACAGCTCGATCACCAGCCGGGGGCGTGATCTGGCAACGGAGAGGGCAACGCTCTTCGAAGTTGGATGTTGCTGTGTACCAGCCCTCCATACAAGAAAGATGATATGTGTGGCCGCACCCAAGTGTCTTCATCGCGCCATTGGTCATCTCCTGCTGGCAAATCAGACAAATGGGTGGGCCATCTCCATCTGCAGCTGGCACAGTCACAGCTGCTGCCTCAGCAGCTGGGCTAGGCTCGACAGCCAGGTCCACAGCTGGGCTAGGCTCAGCTCCCTGGGCATCTCCATCTGGGCTAGGCTCAGCTGGTGGAGTGGCATCTCTCACAGCTGCCTCAGCAGCTGGGCGGGCTGGAGCTGGCGGAGCAGCTGCCTCAGCAGCTGGGCTGGCTGGAGCTGGCGGAGCAGCTTTGCTTGTTGTCACAGCAATTGGGGCAATTGACGCAATTGACGAATTGCGCGCAGGGGGGTGAGGCAACGCCGGCACAGGTGCTGCAGCCGGACGCCTGCCTGCAAAGAACTCAGCAACACTGGGCGGAGGAGCCTTTGCGCAAGAAACAGGCTTCAGGAACTCATCTTTCCATCCCTGAGCAACAGCCACATCATTGACCTCGGCATCCCCCAAGACCAACGGAAGCTCCTGGACGATGTTGTCAGGAAACCCTTCGCAGGAATCCTTGATCCTGTCATGGGCCCTCTTGAACCTGTTGCCAAGCTCCTCATACGAGGTCACACCTGGGCGATTGATGGTGAGATGGGTACAATAACTTTTGACTGATCAGTTGAAGAATCTCTATCATTGTATATTTTACATTATTAATATATAAATGTATATAAACATTTCATTGTCATTGGATGACATTATCTGTGGCTGCAAAGACACAACAACTCAACACAACATGGCCAAACAGGGACAATCTAATGAACTACACAAACAACAACTAAAGTATTAATAATCGTAATAGTAATCTAAAACAACAACACTGATTGATTCTCACCAAATCACGAAGATTCGAAATCTTGAGAGATGGCTTCAACTTCGTGATGATCCAGAGAAGCTGAAGAAGACCTCGCTGGGTGAGGCCACTGGTGTAGCCGGCATCCAGGGCTGGCGCCAACTTCTCAATGGCAAAGGAAAGTCTTGTCATGGGAATGCCTGACAACCACAGGAAGCAGACCATATGACCATTCATGAAATGAACATTGCACAATTTTATCTTGCAAACATTTTACCATTTTCCCACTAGCATGGTAACTAAAACAAACATATGATCATCATATCAACATAACTTAAAAACATAGGATCATCATATCAACATAACATAGGATCATCATATCAACATAACTTAAATTCAATCAAACATAGGATCATCATATCAACATAACTTAAAACAAACATAGGATCATCATATCAACATAACTTAAACCAAAAATAGGATCATCGTATCAACATAACATAGGATCATCATATCAACATAACTTAAAACAAACATAGGATCATCATATCAACATCGGTTACATACATGTCCCACCCCATGCCTCTGATCATACTTGCAGACCTTGTGATGGCAGCATCATCACTCTTGTTGTAAGGGAGCACAGGCGGCGGCTGGTGCTCAGGCTGAGCAGGGACAGGCACAGCAGGAGCCACAGGCTGCGCAACCACAGCGGCCGAAGCAGCAGGCTGAGGAGGAGGAACATCTTGGACTGCACCAACATCATCATCATGGAATTCTTCCTCATCTTCCCCAGCCGCAACATCTTCCATCATTCGACGCATGGCTGCTGGGTTCATCATTCCACCCATCATTCCATTCATGGGTCCCATCATTCCATTGCAGCCACCCATCAACATAGGCGCCATGCCACCTCCCATCATGGGATTCATCATTCCACCCATCATGGGATTCATCATCATGGGATTCATCATGTGTTCCATCATCTGGGGCAAAGTGCGTTGTCTCTTGGAAGCTCGGTTCACAGGGGCAGCTGGCATGATGATCCAATTGACTCAATTGTGTCAAATGTGATGGCTACAATTGCTTGACTCACTCAATTGCTGCAGCATGATTTGCAACGTTATTGATTTAACTACATTGGTATCATGTATCGTGTTGATTTTATCACCTAATCATGATTTGCACACCATACAACGTTATTGATCTAACTACATTATTATCATGCATCGTGTTGATTCTATCACCTAATATGTCTCAATATGTCTCAAAATGTCTCAAAATGTCTCAAAATGTCTCAAAATGTCGCAAAATGTCTCAAAATCACCTCAAAATTTCTCAAAATGGCATTTTGAGACATTTTGAAACATTTTGAACATTTTTGAGCAATTTTGAGCCATTTTGAGCCATTTTGAACAATTTTGAGCAATTTTGAGTAGATTTTTTGGGCAGGTATAAGTACTTTTTAAGCAATTTTGAGCAATTTTGAGCAGATTTTTTGGGCAGGTATAAGTACTTTTTAAGCAGTTTTGAGCAATTTTGAGCAGATTTTTTGGGCAGGTATAAGTACTTTTTAAGTACTTTTGAGCAATTTTGAGCAATTTTGAGCAGATTTTGTGGGCAGGTATTTTGAGCAATTTTGAGCAGATTTTTGTGGGCAGGTATAAGTACTTTTAAACAATTTTGAGCAATTTTGAACCATTTTGAGCATTTTTTAGCAATTTTTTTTGGGCAGATATAAGTCCTTTTAAATAAGTTTGAGCAATTTGGAGCAATTTTGAGCAGATTTTTGTGGGCAGGTATAAGTATTGTTTAAACAATTTTGATCAATTTTGAGAAATTGATACAAGTATTCATAGTTTTGAATATTCATCTCCATGCACTTGACATTATGTTTTCATATCTAAATTTAAATATATTGGTAAGTATATTGTGTAAGTATATTGGTGAATATTGACTTATCTAGTGGATATGAAAATTAACCTCAATAGAGCCATCTTAGATATGACTGTGCACTGTTGATTCATCTAGTGGATATGCAAATGAATATCAATAGAGTCATCTAAGATTTGACTTTGCATTATTGATTCATCTAGTGGATTTGAACATGAATATCAAAAGAGTCATCTAAGATATGACTATGCACGGTTGGTTCATCTAGTTAGTAGATATGAAAATGAATCTCAACAGGACTATGCACTTTTGATTTATCTAGTAAATATGAAGTTGAATCTCAATAGATTCATCTAAGATATGAGTATGCATGCACGTTTGGCTCATCTAGTGGATATGAAAATGAATCTCAACAGAGTCATCTAAGATATGAATATGCACTGTTGATTCATCTAGTACGTATGTATGAATATGAATCTCAATAAACTCATCTAAGATATGCTTTTGATTTATCTAGTACGTTTGAATATAAATGAATCTCAATGCAACTGGCTGTGAATCAAAGTGAATCAAAGTGAATGACACAAATTCCAATTGATCCAATTGATTGAAATTGACCAAATTGAAAAGAAACAATTTCAATGAACTGGATCAATTTCACTGACAAGAAGCAATTGACACAATTGAATCAATTGATGCAACATGACAATGGAAAACAAATTGACTGACTCCCAGAAACCAGGCCTGCTTGTCCAAGAGCACCCCCAAGACCAATCGATCCATCTGCCTCACATGAAGATGGTGCATTTTTGAGCCATCAATGACACCGTTTCTAGTTGGCTATCTTTCAATTGACACAATTGAATCAAGTGAGATATGTGGCTATGAAGAAACCATTGCTAAAACAAAGTCCATGCCTTCTCATCCAAGTAGTGAACTGAGCAACCTCAAACATGTCACATGTTCCACACTGTATCAACTGAAACAATTTGTCACTGAAGATGCTTGAGACAAACACTCAAAGAATCATTGACATCACAAGTGCTGCAAGCGATGACATGACTCACCCATCATTGACATAACTTGCCATTGACAAATTGACCCAATTGACAACAAATTGACCCAATTGACAAATTGACCCAATTGCACAACTTGCAAACAAGTCATCTGGAAGATATGCTAACTGAGCCCATCCCACCACCCTTTATCAATGCTTTGCCTGACAAACATCTAAACAACAAGTGTAACATGAAGCAACGGCTGCCATGAAAGTGTTTCACTGCTTCTGCAACATGATCACCTTGTGCTGGGACTAGCGTTCACCCTTTTTTGTTTCTTCAAATGCCATTGTTTGCAAACTGTCATTGCAAGAAAGCATGGGCAAAAAAGCATGGAAACACGAAAGCATGGGTGCAAAGACTGAACATGAAACCAAACCTTGATTCATATGTCTTAAACATCATTCACTTTTTTTTCGACAAGAACAAGCACTCATTGTTCAACCTAATTGATGCCCATGCTTCAAGACTGCATTTGTCAATGATGAATTGACACAAATGACACAATTGACACAAATGACACAAATGACTGCAATTTCAGTTGAGCTCAGTTGGCCCACAAATTGAAAAAAGTCCATGCTCAGCGCCAGCGCCACCAATTTGATGACGATGATGCATCAACCTCTTCTTGACCTGGAGTACAAGCACTTCAACCTTGACAACTTTGAAAATGCTTTTTTGAGTATCAATCATGTTTTTTGAAAATGTTGCTTCAAAGCATGAGTGCTCAGCCATGACATGTGAAGCCAAGTTGCCAATTGCCCTGCGCAACCAGTCATTCGACTCTGCCTTGTTCCCCCAGCGGAGCAGCATGTTGAACCTTGGTATTTGTTTCGAAAACATACAAACAAAAAAGCTGAAACACTCAGACCTGTTGACCAAACTGTGAGCAAGGAAAAAATATCAGATCTTCAAGTTCAACACCCAGACCAGACACATTAGTTTGATCTTGTGGCTCCGGGAGATCTTGGCAGCGGCCATCATAGCTCTGATGCGAGGCTGGATCTCGTAGTCAGTCAAGATCTCGTCCCTTGGCCAAACAATAATGATAATGAGTTTGACACAGGCATTGGTGGCATGACAGCAAATCACTCCTTCTCAACAGCTGGATCACTGAACTGCAGCCATGGCACAACACCTCGTCCCATCCATCACCCCCGTCAACATCAGTTTCAAGAAGGCCCTGCAAGAAAGAGATCTGCTGCTGAATCATTTCCCGCACGTAGGGGTCACTGAGCTTGGCCTGTCAGCGACAAAGGAAAGAACATGATTGAATGACAATGCCAAAACCCTTACTCAACTGAAACCATGCAACCATGTCATTTACTATGGCCATGACAATGTTTTATCAATTGAATCAATTGCAGCACTAATAGCACCTGGCCTTCTTCTGTGCTGGGCTCATGGTTTGGAGCTCATCCACAAGCCCTGGCGGCATACCGATCTTTTCCTCCTTGACAGGGGCTGGCTCTTCCACCTTTGGGGCTGGCTCAGGTGCGGTGGGGGATGGCTCCCTCTTCACACTTGAGGCTGAGGCTGTGGAGGATGGCTCCCTCTTCACACTTGAGGCTGAGGCTGTGGAGGATGGCTCCCTCTTCACACTTGAGGCTGAGGCTGAGGCTGGCTCTGCCTTGGGGCGGTGGCTGGCTTTGATGCCGCCTTTGGCGGGCTTGGGGCTGGGCGGGTTGGCTTGGGAGGAGGTCTTGCCTTGGTCGGGAGGCCTGACGCTGTGGCTATCGGGCCAATGTCCCGAGGGGCCCCTTTCGGGGGAGGCCCCCCGGGGGGGGTTGGAGCCACCGACTTTTCCCGAAAGCTAATCCGGCAATCAGGGTAGACTTCTCTCCACAGGTTTCGAGCCCTCTCCAAGGCATTGTTGAAGTCCTCATCGGTCCAAGGCTTCCCGGTGATGTCATCATACATGTTTTGCGAAAGGGTTCGCATAGTCCTGAGCAACACTGAGCCATAGCGAGGACAAACTTAGCAGCACTTGCAACATGAAAGATTACTTCAATTGAATCAATTGAGGCAATTCAATATTCACTGGGGACAAATGTTGATCAGGGTAAGGCAAGTAAGCAAGTAATCAATTTTGAAAACATGAAAGCAAACATATTTATTCAAACCCTGAACCCAACATCGGTGAGGCATCCTTGAAATTCTTGCCAAGACACACATTTGGCGACCCTTGCAGAAAGGCGATGACATTGCTGCAATCCACCGCAGGGGCCATCGACAAGCGGGCGGAGTACAGGACCACCTCGACGCCTGCCATCTGCAAGATCTTGATGATCACACCAGCCGTTCCCAAGGTTCTGTGCCAGCCCCATGAACACGTCAGCCTCAGCAAAACAAGTCTGAAGAAGCTAAAATCAAATGTGCAAAGGTTGAAGCTTTGACTGGGTGAAATTGTTTTTCTGTCTTTCACATTAGAATTGTGAGTTGCTCCAAGGCATTCAAATGACACAATTGCAAACATCACATGACAAGTACACTGCAATGTAGGCCAAGACTAGCCAAATGCAGACAAGAAACCGAACGATCATCCCTGGTCGTGACAAAATGTCGAGGATCACCGCTGGGAACCCTGTGTGGCGGATGACCTGAATGAGCCAAGCGCTACAAGAACTACATGAAGCAACATCAAAGGCACATGAAACAAGAAGGCAAAACAACTGGCTCAGTCAATTGACAATACTGAGTTCAAACATGTTATCAGTTTCACTACGAACTGACAACCTGTCTTAGTGTCGACCCCAAAGACGTTGATGCCAAGCCACTTCCTCCTGCACCTCCGTGTGCAGTCCGCTCATCTTCTGCTTCGAACCCTGAGGCTCTTCAAAGGACCTTAGCATCCCAATAACAAACCACCAATGATGATATCATCATGAATGCATTCAAAGGAAATCAAAGGAAATCCTTGTGATCTGAATGCATCAAAGGCACTGCCTAGACAGTTTGATAGGAAGCCGGTGCTCCCACACTTCCTTCATTGGGTCCCGCAAGTGACCGCCCATCTTTTCGATGATCCGGACCACCTCCTTCGGGGGTTCCTGCAATCAAAAGGCACAAAGAATAAGAAACTTGATCACACACCAAACCCAGCGGCTGAAAACTAAACATCATAATGTCAGTTTCCATCAATGATCATGACACAAGGCCCTGTCCTGCCACCCCTTTCTCGCATTGCCCGATCCATACCCCAGGATCGCGACGCGCTTTGGCCAGTTGAAGGTTTGGTGATTCCACAAGTGAATTGGCACCTGACATCAGACACTACATCCAAAGCAGACCCAATCACACATTTGATCCAAACTTGATTCAAGTGCCAGCCCTTCAGCACTTCAGATTTACATAATTGACGCAATTCACACAATTGATCCAAACCAGCCAATGTGATTGGGCAACATGTCTTCTTAAAGCCAAGAAACTGTGGTCTGGTCACCTTTTCTTGGTGACATTGTCGTACTTGATGCCATTGTTCTCGTGGTACCTTGGTAATGAACCAGCTTCAAGCCAGCATTGGCAACATCCAAGCAAAACATCCTGCAGTGCAAGTAAGTTACTCCCTGATCTTTTCCCGCGATGACGACAGAACGTACTTCAGGATGCAGTCCGGTGGTTTCTTCTTGATGTGGTCCCTGAAAACAAACAACCAAGTGAACTCAATTGACCCACACTTTCACTGAAGACAATTGACCCAATTGAACTCTGAACCTTGCGCAACTCACGACAAACATCTTCAATGAATCAAACATAAATAGCAGCCCGAATCAGCAAACTTCATAAATTCGATTCTCCTTTTTTTTGGTCCAAGGGGCACTAGATCCTGGGCGTTACTCGGGCACTCAAGGTACAGGAGATAGATCGCCTCAAGCGAGCAACTTGCTAATGTCTTACTCCCAGATTCTGGTAAACACACTCACATCAGGATTTATCTCAAAATTGAAAGTAAGACATGATAAATGATCAAAATGCTCAATTGCATGTTCACCAGTGCGATCAAGCGGCCTGCTGAGCTTTTCTTGGCCACGTGTTAACAGTCGAGCGCCACTCAGATGGCAAGTATTGCACGGCAATGCTGGGTGCAGACATCAACAATGTCAAACAAATAAATGAACTTTAAACTGAAGACTTGCATTCTTGGTGCTCATTGGGTTGGCCTTTGAATATCATGTTTTCCTGCATGAGGCATGACTTGTTCTTAAATCCGTTTGGGTACAAATGCGGCAATTGACGCAATTGATGCAATTGAATCGAGGCACCCACCAAAGCTTTGAGCCAACTTTGCTTCGTGAAGACTGCCATATTGTCATATGTCAGATTTACAACCACAAAACCCATTGACAAAGCAATTCAATGAACTGACTTGAAAGAATGAACATAATGAATAATGACCGGCACGTAAACAACACAGGCCTCGCCTCGGCCTGCCGCTAATGTCGCAAAGGCCTGCAAAAAGTAAGTAGTGCATGCCTTGAATGACACACTTCCTCTTGGAATTTACTGACCTGACTTCCCTGGAGCCAATTGACTTCAAATGACACAATTGATGACATTGACTTCACAGACAAAGTAGTTCAAAAGGAAACGAAGCAGCGCCTGCACGTTACCGCCAGCCACCTTGAGACACAAGACAAGAACATGCAATCACATATCATTTGATGCCATGAGCAAAGCTTGTATTGTAAAAAAACAGTGTCCCATGTCAATCAAATAAAGTAAGTCTGGAATCTCTGATCACGATCAATATGACAGAAACCTCAGCGCTAGCTTGGACACTTGCAGATCAGATTGATTAGGGAATCCTTTTGCAGTTTTCACACAAATCAACACACATCAACACAAATAATACCGCTGACAATCTGTACATTGGCGCAGTCATGAGTCAGTAGTAGACTAAAATGAACCAATTGACTCAATTGACCAAATCACTTTTCAAGATGAAAATGACTTTGCCAAACGTACTTGTCAAAGAAATCCTGGGGCCCCCAAGTTGAAGCGAAGGCTGCACCTGGCCACTTGGATGGTAGCGCACTAGAATCACAAGCAATTGACACTTTGTTAGCATGTCAACAAAGATATATCTCGAAGTTCAGCCTTGACATGTCTTCCACTGAATGCTCATGTTTTCAAGCACAGTACTCTTACTTTGAAAAGGCAATTGAGCTGCAATTGTACTTCAATTGACATGCTTTCCATATCAGCTAATGGGTATCATGATGGTTCCTCAATTCCGTTTTGAAAGCACACCATGGCTTCAACAACATTTTTTGTTTTTTATAATCAAGAGTAAGAGGAACCATACACACCCACTTCTGGAATAATGGGTATCATGATGGTTCCTCAATTCCGTTTTGAAAGCACACCATGGCTTCAACAACATTTTTTGTTTTTTATAATCAAGAGTAAGAGGAACCATACACACCCACTTCTGGAATCTTGCCAAAAACAGCTCACAGCAATTCTATCAGGAACCAAGCAGGCACTTTGGGATGGCTTCCGTCCTTGGCATGGGCGCAAATGAATTCGTTCAATTGATGGGTTTGGACAGGGAGAAGCAGGGGACACCACAGGCATTCCAATCAAATTAAAGAATGACATCCCAAGTGAACTGAAGCGCAGCAGTTTGAATTCACTACTTTACCACAAAACCTGGTCAGGGATTGAAGACTGCCAAGACTCATCGAAATTCAAAAGACAACCCACTCGCCATCCTCTGCTTCTCTGCCATCCTGCACAGCCAGCACACCTGACGCAATTGACAATGGTTGCCATGACGCAATTGACACCGCATCCACATCTTCCAGCTCCGCTTCAGCAGCCAACGCCTCGAGGACCTGTTCAGCAAGTCCAATGGTCCAAAATGAGCCAACTGACTTGGAAGCACTATCAATTGCTGACTAACCTACTGTGTTCATGACCTTACCATGCTTGGTTCATGCAAGTGCAAATCTATTGTCAATGAAATTCAATAACGCAATGTTCCAAGCCTCGATGTGGAATTCGCCGATGTACCACATTCGTCTATGGACCAAGTGTCCACACGGCGATATCTGATCACAAAGGAACTCATTGTCTGCAGCCAAGACGAAGTTGGTGTCCTTGCGGCATGCTTTGGGCGCATGCTCGCCTCGGCAGTTCCAGTCCCAAATCCGGAGAGTGCCATCCCAGCTCCATTTGCCATGCAATCCGCTCCAGTGCAATGCTCCGCTTTTTGATCTGCCTCAGCAAAGCAAGCTGCTCAAAGACAATGTTCAAAACACATGAGGCAATTGAAACAATTGATGTCACTTGAAAGCACACTCAGAACAATGTTTGTTTACTTAAGGCAAATCAGTTCAAAACCAAGACACTCCGGAAGTTGCACTGCATAGTGTCCTTGCAGAGGGTCATCCACTCCGAGCGACGTCCGCTCCCAGAATGGTAGTAGTAGAACACATGGGCCACATGTTTCTGCTGCGGCTGTGCCACCACCAATGGCAATGGGTACTGGGACTCCTCGTTGCCTGGCTTCTTCTTGTCGTCGTAGTCCTTGTTGTCACCGGGCGCATAGCTACGAGGAATCTTGTTTGCCATGGCTTCGATCAATTGAAAGCAATTGAAGCAATTGACACAATTGACAATTGGCAAGGCAATATCGCTGGCTGGAATTTAAGAAAGTAGATGAATTTGATTTTGTTCAATTAAGTCGATGATTTTGATTTCATTCAATGAAGTAGATGACTTTGATTTTATAGTTTTTTACTTGATTTCTAGATTAGATGTCTGGCTAAATTGTCCAACTTCAATGCTTGAGTTCCTCTACCTAGTGTAATTGCATTTTGAAGTTTCCATTGTGCTTGAGCTGCTTCACATACAACTCAATCACTCAAACCCAAAAGAGATGACATCAATACTTGACGACACAATTGAGAGAAACTCTGCAATAGCACTGCATGATGAACCAAATGAAATCAATCAGCTTTCCAGTTGAACAGGCGATGCCACAACAGACACTGGCTCACTGTTAGAAGCTTCAACATGTTATGTTGAAAAGAATTAAGACTGGAGCAGAACCGGGCCTTTCAAAGACATCTGCAGGCTCGAAACTTGGTTCAGGCCTCACATTGAAGAATACAATGACATGACTGCAACACTTCTTGTTAGTTTCAATTCAAGTCTGAACTCAATTGATTCAATTGACGCAATGTAATTGCATTTGTATCGGAAGAAAGCAAGTCAAGTCAAATCATTGGTTCTGAGTACTGAGAGAATGACAAGCGCCCAGATCCTGCCACAGTTAAACCGTTCAATCAATAAGTTGATCATCGTTTTTTCCACATGTGACTGAACGAATCATTTCGGCCATGTATGATGATGATGAGACAATTGAAGCCATCAGAATCACTGACCACCCCGTGGTTTCTGCTCATCACTTCAGATGCTACTGAGTGTGTCAGTTGAGTCAGTCTTGCTGTCTACTGACTATTTGGTGGAAGCGACTGTGGCTCTTGCACAGCTGGCTCTTCATTGTCATCCGCGGGCAAATGAAATTGGATCAAACGCTCACAGAAGAAGCCGCCGAACTCCACAGCAATTTGGCCTGCAGGTTTTCCACTTTCAGTCGAGTGAATTGACTCCTGCTGGCTCAGCTCAATGATTCATGTCATGTGTGAACATTTGAAATTCAAAGGATTCCAACATTCACTTGACTCAATTGAGGTAGGCACCCTTGTGCAAGATAATCAGGTTTGGCGCATTCTTGGGCATACTGGGCACCACTACCCACAGGTCGTTGTCAATTTGGACATGGCAAGACCACCAATTTGCCTGCAGCATGGCTGATGGTTCACAACAATTTTTGGCACCGCAACGCACCTGGCAAAACCGATTGACTACTGAGTACTGAAAACCACATGGACTGAAGCAACATTATGATCCCACCTCAATGTCATTGTCGTTGAGCTCGTCCAGCAACTTCTTGCAATTGGCCTTCTGACGCAATTCAGGTTTCTCAGCCAGTAACTTGGCCATCCTGTCCCTCAGGAAATCGTGCAGCATCTCCTTCGCTTTCCTCACAGGCTGTAGTTTTGTAAATGATGCCTGGAGCCAACCATCAGCTTACTTTGACATCACTACGAATCACTGGCAAGATTCACAAGAGATGGGTGCTTCAGGCATTGATCTGCATCAACTTTGCGCCCTCCATTCATCCTCGGATCGCTGACAATGCGAAAGCGCGCAACACCACATTTCTCAGAAGGTCCTTGAATTTTATTTACCAGTTGCCTTATTTTATTTGAACCAAGGCTCTCCCTGTACTTTGGCCATTTCACCCGACGATCCTGCTCATGAGATGCAGTGACCAGCTAATAATTCAGACCCCACAAGCAAAACTTTATCTATTTTATATAATGGACACACAACTCAGAACGCACTCCAATCAATCAAACATGCCTCCTGAATGACACCGGGGGCCAGGACCACAATCGGAAGGGAGCCATCAGCAACAGGAACCGACATCATGGCAAACAAATGACACAATTGACACAGCTTGACAAAATTCAACTGATCCACCAATTGACCAAAATGAATGATGCAGTAAATCCTGCAAATGTTGAGCCAAAATTGCCACCACCCACACATGGCCCCGGTTCAAGAATTGAACAGTTGCAGCTTGGACTTGAGTCCACTGAATTGATTCACAATAATTGAACTCACCAGCTCCTTGTCATTGATGAAGTTGACGCGCTACAGCCCCTCCTTGAAACATCCAAACAAAACATTGACCTGCAAACATCCAAATGACGCAAATGACACAATTGACGCAAATCATTTGTCAACGAGACATTTGCAAACTAAGGCCCGAGCAGGTGAATGACAATGTAGTAACATCTCAAGCAATGACTCAATTCAGAGAATCTCAATCTGAAACCACTTCACACCACAAGAACTCAACATCAGAAAGTGAAGAAACACAACAGATGCAATTGACACAATTGACTGACTGACTAATTGAGGGGAAGATGTTGGCATGTTTTTGTGAGATATCACATCGGCAACAGGAAATATGCATTGCCATGTGACCTGGGGATGCATAATCATCCTGACGTGATGTGTATAACACACATCCTTCCATGGGCATATGCAAACACAGGTACTAGACATGCCCAATAAATAGTAATGTTGGCAATGTAGTAAACTTGATGATTGAAGTTCCATCACCAAGCTCTGCTCTCATTGCCAATAATAAGACACAATTGACTCAATTGACAACCATGCCACATCCATCAAGGATACTAATTCATGTAAGTTCATGTTTGTTGGTGCATAACTTTTAAAACTTTTCAATCTAATATAAATCATTTTTTTACTTTTCATTTTTTCACTTTTTCACGTTATAAATCGTTGTAAGACACGGAGATGTTATGACATGTTAGCACGAGACACTTTTTGCTCAAAAAGTACTTTTTGAGATGCCCAACAATCCCTACAAATTAATCTCCCCACAAGCTGGTCGCCATTCCGAAGTTTGTGATAAAAAACAAGATTTCCTCTTGAAAACGCACAGGTACCACATCTTTACTCAGCCGTTTGCCCTCCCAGAATACTTTCCACTAAGACTACTTATCAACAGAGGAAATCTTGTTGGACTAGGTGATGGATACACTGGAGCTGCCGGCGGGGGATCTGCCTGTTTCGATGGAGCCGATGCCTTGGGTTTTGGTTCACTCTTTGGCTTAGCTTTGGGACCCTTAGGCCTTGGATCCTTCGGTTCAGGTTCCGGCGGCGTAGCTTTCTTATCTCCATAGTTTATGTATTGCTGTAACGCTTTTTCTTTTGCTTTCAACATTGACTTCTCTTGACCCTTCTCAATGTGCCTCTTCATCATGATCATCAAGAATTGAAGAGTATGTTCTGGATCACCTTATTTGCTGAATCATATCTGTTGAGATCCATCTTCATGATTTCCGCGTTCCCATCCAACTTCCGGTACAGAGTATCTCGAAGGGAGTCATCCGAAGGAACATCACTGGCTTTCATGTTTGAGATCATCTCAATCCACTTGTTGTAAAACGAACTCAGCTTGGAATCTCCAATGTATGCTAGTTGGTGTAGATGATGACCGTTGTACATGACTTCAACATGAGAAGTAGTCTTGAAGCTTATGATAATCATCGCTAGAAATCTTGTTGTTATTAAAACGTTTTGTTGGATTAGACTAGATTTTCTGTCAAACCTTTGAAAAGTCTATTTTGTCAAATGCCAGTAGCACTGAGACTGGTATTTATTTTGTTTCCTGATTGTAACATTGCTGCCCCTGTAAGCTTCTCTTATGGTGAAGAGCCTTTAAGTTATACCCATCATAATCCATGAAGAACCTACATCCGTCGTAATCCATCCTATGCTCCATTTCTGCTTGATAGCCTGAAAAATACCGTTATACCGATCACCCATCATACTCACCGTTTCTTTTGGCTCTCCATGCCACTAGACCACCCGGGTTCACTAAAGTAATTTATACGTATATATATATATATATATATGTGTGTAGGGCAACGTTTGGATGATTCCTCTAAACTAACCATTTGTGGTCGGGGTAGTTTTGCGATTTACCAGTTTACCATCATGTGATTTTTCAACGGAGAATCCAAATTCCTAGTGGGCTCATCATCTTCAAAATGATGGTTCTTTTGGAAATTACTGTACTTTGTATATACCAATTATTGTATACTATGATTTACTACACGTGGACAACCCAATGAGGTACATAAGTTGGTTTACAGCTCCGCTCTACAGTTGGACGGGGTGTAGGTTAGGTTATCAACAAGTCGAGAAGAGGGGCATATTGTATGTCAGTGTCAGGCTAATCTTAGATAGCTAGCAAAAGAAACAACTGGGTATTAAAGTCTCCATCCAGTCCGTTTCCCCACTCAAATCCAAAATGTTTGATGCGTACATTATGGTCAATTCCTTTGTTGTTGATGCGTAATTATATACCACCTTTGTTGGTATCCCCAATATTCCCATAAAACATCCCCATAGTTGCTGTTTCTGTCAAGTAATTTAACATGTAATGCACATGACATCCACATTCAATCCCTGTTTTCCCGTGCAAGTCACATCTTTTCACTTTCATGCCCACATCATTTCCCTATTTTTTTATAATGTTGCCAGTTCACAGCTCCAAATCCATCATGGACATGTCGTTCTCCCATGTTTTCCAGGCTTTTTTGTCTCCCATGATCTCCACCCTGATACCCGGCGCCTCTGTTCCCAGCTGGCGCTCTCCTGCGGCGCCAGTGCAATCTCCTGCGATGGCTCGGGACACACTGCAGTGGCCTGGGCGAAGAACTTGTAGCCGTGGAGCCTTCCGGCGAGCCCCCGAAACGGAAGATGTTTGCACCCTGAAACCCGGGAAAAAAGACCGGATGATTTTGAGAGAACGAGAGATGAAATATGGAGATAGGTCTATAACTGTAATTTGAAAGATGTTATACTTGGAGATGATCACACTGTCAGTTTGAAACTGACCATGGTCTTGTTTCACTATATAACTGGTATGGGTACCTGGGGATGACCGTGGGGTAGTTGGCTGATAAAATTCTATATAAACCCATCAAATAACTAACCTCAGCCATAAAATCAGTTACAAAGGTTAGATCAGCCATAAAAGCTAGTTACTAGTTCACCAAATCATGTTTGCCAGCTATCGTTTGGGGGGACCAGCGAGGCACCTTTCGTGGCCGCCAGCAGTCATCACTGAGACCACCGCAGGGCCCAGGCCGCTGTCGGCGATGTAGCTGCTGCTGGCATTCAGGTTGAACTCCGGACCCTTGGAGCAGCTCGAGTTAATGTCAGTGGCCCCCACAAGATGGCTAAGTTGCTTTTATAATCTTTATAGCATTTTATAGCTATAGACTATAGGATAACTAGGTTTTTGGAATGTTTTAGGATATCTCGAACTAGTTCGATGTGGTTGTAAACCCACAAGCATAGCTAAGGGGGGCCACTTTGCAGATATTCGCGTGGGTCAAGTGGACCGGATGAAGTCAAAGGATAAGAAATCCAACATCAACAAGTTGCGGCGTACTTCTCCCCGATTCTCATCCATTTGGGATGGATGTTCCATGAAATAAACCATCCAGCTATTGGCGTACCCCCATGATTATGGAAACCTCCATATGATAGTAAACCATTGATTTTAGGGGTACTTGGAGGATCTATTTGATGATCGGCAAGTGGATGTAAGTGGCTATCATATACTCTATACAGCCACCGCACAATTCAAAGGATGCAAGCAATACTCGTGGGTTTTCAATCAAAACCCATTTTTTCAAATTTTCTTCGATTTCGTGACATACCACCTGATGCAATGGTTTGTTGAGCGGGTGGCTTTCCAATCAAAGTTGCGCTGCTCTACGGTCAGCTGGTCTTTGACACTCACACACACTCCCACCACATCCAAAATAAATAAACATATATAAACTAGGTTCAAACCATTCAACAAGCAAAAACAAACACGGGCTGTCACGGGTATATCATGGGCCATGGGTCTAGTTTGGCACGTGTAAATATTGGTTTTGTCACGCGCTGCTATGGCTTTGAATGGCTCAGGGCCTAGGGTCGCGGATAGTTCAGAGAGGTCAAAAGGGCGTTTGGTGATTCTGACATGAATCCTGGTGGTTTGAAAATCTCAAAGCAAGCCAAAGCTGGACCTTTTTTTGGATGACTGATGTAGATCCCGGAGATACACCCAACAATTTTTGAATGTTTTTTCCCGGATTGTTGGATCCCAAGTTTCTTGTCCAGGCCATGGTCGCATGAATCCATAAGAAAACAAGTTTTTTTGGCCGTCTGTGCATCTTCCTCATTGTTGGCCAAAAAAAATGCTGCCAGTTCTTATTCCAGACGCATAAAGTCATGGACACCCTCGTTCAGTTGCAGCAACGACTGGAACATCTTGGAACTTGCCATAGTGTGGGATATTGTGGCTGGTTGGTGGTATACCTACCCCCCTGAAAAATATGAGTTCGTCAGTTGGGGTTACTCTTCCCAGTAGATAGAAACAAACATGTTCCAAACCACCAACCAGTTGAAGATTCCCTGCAATTATGTACCAATCAATCTCCATGTCTGGCACCTCAAACTGTGTGAGAATCGACTGCCTCTGCCCACCTGCAGCGTTGCTGAGGCCCCTTGCTGATGGTGGTTGAAAACCCTGACATCTTTGCGATACACCAATGGGTTGGATTTGTTGGACCCATCGGATTTTCACCCCTCTATTTAAATAGTTTGCAACAGCATTTTTTTTGGCGCAAGGTTGTCGTCATTACACTGCTTTCAGACACCGCAAACAATCTCTCGTGTAGATGCCTTGACTTGGAACAGGTTTTTGGGGACATACTCAAGTGGATCAACACTCAGAGCCTCTGCTAGTCCGGCGACATGCAAATATCAAAAAAAGAGTTGATATATGGCGCGTGCTATAGATATATACAGTATATATGTATATGTATATATATATATATGTCAGAATTGAAGACACGCTAGAAACTCGTCATTACATATTGGTCATGGCTAGTCGTTAGCGGCCAGTACGTCACCATGCAAATTTGTTACGTGACCCCAAAAATGGCCCCGTTTCGCCGACCTATTGGGACTTGAACCTGCTGGAGAAGACCGGTGGACTGTTCTCACAGCTACAAGTAGTATAAGTTTTCCCCACCTTTAACTCAAACAAAAGTATGTACCCTCTGGTAAACGAACATAACAATGGAAAATCACCATTTTTAATGGGAAAATCCACTATCAATGGCCATTTTTAATAGCTATGTTAAATAACCAGAGGGTAAATTCAACTGGTTGCTGGATTCAATCCATCCAAACATCACTAATATGTACAATTTTTTGAATGTGGGTCATAGGCAATCCCCATCAAACATGACAGTTTTTAATGGAAAGAAATATTGTTTATCATATAAATGATGTTCCAGCAACAAGGTTAGAAATGAACAAACATGTTTTTCCACCCCTTTGGGTTGATCGGCATCCCCCAAAAGCAGAAGTGAGTTTGAAACGCCGCCAAAAAGGTGGCATTACACCATGGTATTGGAAATTCCAGACAGTCCCTGAATGGCAGCCTTGGCCAAAATAGACCCACAAAATACCACCATTTTTTAAACAATCTATATGCCTTTTTCGTCAAGAATATCATCAACAAAAATGTGCACGTTGCTTCCATCCCTAATCTTGTCTGGTTGGTGGTTTCAACCCCTCTGAAAAATATGAAAGTCAGTTGGGATGGTTGTTCCCAATATATGGAAAGTCATACAAATCAGGTTCCAAACCACCAACCAGTATAAATTATATTATCCAATATCCATTATTATCCATTATTATCCATTGTTAACCATTATTAACCATTATTAACCATTATTATCCATTGTTAACCATTATTAACCATTATTAACCATTATTATCCATCATTAACCATTATTAACCATTATACTATACAGTATATCCATATCCCTAATCTAGTCATGGACGACCACAGTTATTGGCCTGCAGGCAGTGCTGAGTTGGCCGTCCACACGTTGGGCGCCGTCAGAACAAAGCGCGAAGCAATGGGCACTGACCAGCCCTGTGGGACAGCACAATTTGTGAGGTTTGCATAGCCCACCAGAAATGAGACTAAAACGGATATTATATAAATATAATATTTATTTATATATATATATATATTTATATTATATATATACAACACACAAATATACATAATATATTATATATATATGATTTAACAGTATATTACATTATTATATTATACTATATTCAATTGCATATTACCTTATATATTAAATTACATGCTATACTATATATTTTATTATACTATATTTTATCATGTTGTATTAACATATACTAAATTATATATATTTTTTAAAATATATATATTACATATATTATATATAACATATATTATATATAATATCTAGTATATATAAAACAAATATAATATATAATATATGTTATATTTAATACATAAGTATATATAATTATTGTGTATATAATAAAATATAATATAATATTATATTATATAATATGATATGATATAATGTAATAAAATGTAAGCTAAACTAAAATATTGTAATAGCAAAATACAATGTAAAAATACAATGTAAAAATACAATGTAATAATATGTTAACTAATATAATACATCAATACATATTTTAATGTAATAAAACGGCTTACAATAAAATAATGTAATTAAGTCATAATCTAGTAAAATACAATACAATATAATATTTTACAAGAAAATATAATAACAAATAATATATTATAATATAATGTAATATAATGTAATATAATGTATGTAATGTATTAAAACATTTTACAATAAAATGCACTATAATACCATATAAAACAATGTAATATAATATAATATAATATGATATGATATGATAGAACTCACTATCAAACAATACGATATAATAAATCATTTTAAACCAATCATATTATATATATACAGTATATATGTATGTAGTTAAAACATTATATAAATATAGTGTAATAAAAATTGAATACACTACGTATAATATGAACAAATGTCATATGTAAAATATATGTATAACCAAGATAATGTGTAACACTATCATGGGATACAGCTAAGACAAAGAAAACCAGCGGCTTTAAATTGCGCAGCAATCCTTGTCGGTCGCTTGGTTATCTTGGTTCAGATCCCCAGCCCAAATCGAAATTGTCCAATCATGGAGCCCTGCGAAGAAACTTTTTGGTGACAGATTACCCTCTGGTAAACTAACATAGCTATTGAACATGACCATTTATAGTGGATTTGCCCATTAAACATGGTGATTTTCCATAGTTACGTTAGTTTACCAGAGGGTACTCTCCTGAAATCTAACCTGGGCCAAAAAAAAAATAAAAAAAATTATCCCGCTACGTTAGCGTTCGGGATTTCCCGTTGAACAGCGCTAACATAGCAGCTGAAATCTTGCATGTTCATGGGGCGATTTTGATACTAACCTGACACCTGCCGTGCCTCCATCAGCACAAATTCCCAAAAGTGTCAAGTTAGTTCGTGCTGTGTTTGGGAACATGGCGAATACTCCAAAGCTGGAACCACCAAATGGAAGGTGCCATGTTTGACTGGCACAACTGTTTTTGCATGTCTTCCTGGGGCTCACCCTTACTGGACCAAAAAAAGCTTCAAAACGAACAATTTTACATAATAGATTGAATAAGGAAAAAACTCCGGGTCGATGTTGCCAATCTGGCTCCTTGCTGCCATGATGATTATGATGTACTATTGGAGGTTTTGGGAACCCTGGGCAAATGCTATGTTAGCAATCCTGTTGCCAAAACTCTGGTTTGGATTGAAAATCATGACTGGCACAACTGTTTTTGCATGTCTTCCTGGGGCTCACCCTTACTGGACCCAAAAAAGCTTCAAAACGAACAGTTTTACATAATAGATTGAATAAGGAAAAACTCCTGGTCGATGTTGCCAATCTGGCTCCTTGCTGCCATGATGATTATGATGTACTATTGGAGGTTTTGGGAACCCTGGGCAAATGCTATGTTAGCAATCCTGTTGCCAAAACTCTGGTTTGGATTGAAAATCATGACTGGCACAACTGTTTTTGCATGTCTTCCTGGGGCTCACCCTTACTGGACCCAAAAAAGCTTCAAAACGAATTGTTTTACATAATAGATTGAATAAGGAAAAAACTCCTGGTCGATGTTGCCAATCTGGCTCCTTGCTGCCATGATGATTATGGTGTACTATTGGAGGTTTTGGGAACCCTGGGCAAATGCTATGTTAGCAATCCTGTTGCCAAAACTCTGGTTTGGATTGAAAATCATGACTGGCACAACTGTTTTTGCATGTCTTCCTGGGGCTCACCCTTACTGGACCCAAAAAAGCTTCAAAACGAACAGTTTTACATAATAGATTGAATAAGGAAAAAACTCCTGGTCGATGTTGCCAATCTGGCTCCTTGCTGCCATGATGATTATGATGTACTATTGGAGGTTTTGGGAACCCTGGGCAAATGCTATGTTAGCAATCCTGTTGCCAAAACTCTGGTTTGGATTGAAAATCATGACTGGCACAACTGTTTTTGCATGTCTTCCTGGGGCTCACCCTTACTGGACCCAAAAAAGCTTCAAAACGAACAGTTTTACATAATAGATTGAATAAGGAAAAAACTCCTGGTCGATGTTGCCAATCTGGCTCCTTGCTGCCATGATGATTATGATGTACTATTGGAGGTTTTGGGAACCCTGGGCAAATGCTATGTTAGCAATCCTGTTGCCAAAACTCTGGTTTGGATTGAAAATCATGACTGGCACAACTGTTTTTGCATGTCTTCCTGGGGCTCACCCTTACTGGACCCAAAAAAGCTTCAAAACGAACAGTTTTACATAATAGATTGAATAAGGAAAAAACTCCTGGTCGATGTTGCCAATCTGGCTCCTTGCTGCCATGATGATTATGATGTACTATTGGAGGTTTTGGGAACCCTGGGCAAATGCTATGTTAGCAATCCTGTTGCCAAAACTCTGGTTTGGATTGAAAATCATGACTGGCACAACTGTTTTTGCATGTCTTCCTGGGGCTCACCCTTACTGGACCCAAAAAAGCTTCAAAACGAACAGTTTTACATAATAGATTGAATAAGGAAAAAACTCCTGGTCGATGTTGCCAATCTGGCTCCTTGCTGCCATGATGATTATGATGTACTATTGGAGGTTTTGGGAACCCTGGGCAAATGCTATGTTAGCAATCCTGTTGCCAAAACTCTGGTTTGGATTGAAAATCTTGACTGGCACAACTGCCTTTGCATGTCTTCCTGGGACTCACCCTTACTAAGCCCAAAAAAGTTTCAAAACGAACAGTTTTACATAATAGATTGAATAAGGAAAAAACTCCTGGTCGATGTTGCCAATCTGGCTCTTGCTGCCATGATGATTATGATGTACTATTGGAGGTTTTGGGAACCCTGGGCAAATGCTATGTTAGCAATCCTGTTGCCAAAACTCTGGTTTGGATTGAAAATCATGACTGGCACATCTGTTTTTGCATGTCTTCCCGGGGCTCACCCTTACTGGACCCAAAAAAGCTTCAAAACAAACAGTTTTACATAATAGATCGAATAAGGAAAAAACTCCTGGTCGATGTTGCCAATCTGGCTCCTTGCTGCCATGATGATTATGATGTACTATTGGAGGTTTTGGGAACCCTGGGCAAATGCTATGTTAGCAATCCTGTTGCCAAAACTCTGGTTTGGATTGAAAAGCATGACTGGCACAACTGTTTTTGCATGTCTTCCCGGGGCTCACCCTTACTGGACCCAAAAAAGCTTCAAACAAACAGTTTTACATAATAGATTGAATAAGGGAAAAAACTCCCGGTCGATGTTGCCAATCTGGCTCCTGGCTGCCATGATGATTATGATGTACTATTGGAGGTTGTGGGAACCCTGGGCAAATGCTATGTTAGCAATCCTGTTGCCAAAACTCTGGTTTGGATTGAAAATCATGAACTGGACCCAAAAAAGCTTGAAAACGAACAGTTTTACATAATAAATTGAATAAGGAAAAAACTCCTGGTCGATGTTGCCAGTCTGGCTCCTTGCTGCCATGATGATTATGATGTACTATTGGAGGTTTTGGGAACCCTGGGCACATGCTATGTTAGCAATCCTGTTGCCAAAACTCTGGTTTGGATTGAAAATCATGACTGGCACAACTGTTTTTGCATGTCTTCCTGGGGCTCACCCTTACTGGACCCAAAAAGCTTCAAAACGAACAGTTTTACATAATAGATTGAATAAGGAAAAAACTCCTGGTCGATGTTGCCAATCTGGCTCCTTGCTGCCATGATGATTATGATGTGCTATTGGAGGTTTTGGGAACCCTGAGCAAATGCTATGTTAGCAATCCTGTTGCCAAAACTCTGGTTTGGATTGAAAATCATGACTGGCACAACTGTTTTTGCATGTCTTCCTGGGGCTCACCCTTACTGGACCCAAAAAAGCTTCAAAACGAACAGTTTTACATAATAGATTGGATAAGGAAAAGACTCCTGGTCGATGTTGCCAATCTGGCTCCTTGCTGCCATGATGATTATGGTGTACTATTGGAGGTTTTGGGATCCTGGGCAAATGCTACGTTGGCAATCCTGTTGCCCAAACCTCTGGTTTGGATTGAAAATCATGACTGGCACAACTGTTTTTGCATGTCTTCCTGGGGCTCACTCTTACTGGACCCAAAAAAGCTTCAGAACGAACAGTTTTACATAATAGATTGAATAGGGAAAAACTCCTGGTCGATGTTGCCAATCTGGCTCCTTGCCATGATGATTATGATGTACTATTGGAGGTTTTGGGAACCCTGGGCAAATGCTATGTTAGCAATCCTGTTGCCAAAACTCTGGTTTGGATTGAAAATCATGACTGGCACAGCTGTTTTTGCATGTCTTCCTGGGGCTCACCCTTACTGGACCCAAAAAAGCTTCAAAACGAACAGTTTTACATAATAGACTGAACAAGGAAACAATGTGCCATGGGGATGATGTGCCTTTTCCCGCCTGATGTGACTTAAGTGCGGCGCTCGTATGT